TTTCAATTTTATTAAATTTGCAATAATTAAAAAAAATATTATGTTTTAAGTATTATGTTTTAGCAATTTATAAAATTTAAATTGTTTTCCTCGCTTTCAATAATTACCAGATTATTTCGCTTTGTTGTAAATAATCAAATGCTCTAAATAATTACGTGCAAGAGGATACAATCACATACAGAGAATGAAAAGAAGAGGGCAGAACAATGATTGTCGGAAGAGAAATAAATAGAAAAGTGTCTCAATATGAAATGAAGTGTTACCTGTTGCTTTGATCCCGGAGCCTCTTCGCTTGCCGGGCTGCTTTGGCCCCGAAAAAACACTTTTAACTCTCTTCTTGAATATTGTCGGAGAAATCAATCGATGTTGGCTGAATCGAATGCGCAAAAGAAGAACGAACAATTAATTATTGACGTATTAATCGTGGAACACGCATATGCAAAGACAAACGGGTCAACAAGAATGAAATTATTAAGGAGATTATTACGTTTTCTCTCTTAAGCGTAATACATTAATTAAGCACAATATACACAATAACTTAATTGGACACAAACCGGGAATACAATCGCAAATACAGTTCTCACATATTTAAATGTAAAATGTAAATGGTTATATTCGACAGCGTTAAGATAAAGTGTGAAATAAAAATTGCAGGCGAAATTTATCGAACACTTCGACCGTAAGGCAAGTACCTAGAGGTCCGCGGTATCGAGCTCGGGATACAATCGACGTCACGGGATTGATCGCGATGGTTTCCAGCGCGCGTTTCCAACGAAGCTGTCCGGATCGAGCGAACACCGCCCCTATTCGCCGCGGAAGAGACGAGGGGTGATCTTGCCGCAGAGAACGACGCGCGTGAACGTCTCACAGTCCTGGCTGCTGTCTTCGTGAAGACTCGAGGGATTCCGGACGCGTTGGGGGTTGCTTTCGTGAATGGATACACAGTCGGAGGGAGCACAGGGCGAAGTCTCTGGACGAGCAAAGAGCTGGACAGATGCAGAGCTTCCTGTCGACGAGACGTCGGAAAGGCGTCGTGGCGCCTGCGTCATGTGGAACGTCGACGCTCCCCGTTTCTACGCCGGCTCGACCCGGAGGACCTTCTCCCTATCGGACGGATAATTTCAAGCGAAACGGATATCCTTGGTCGAACGATTGATTAAATATCGCTTGAGAGTATTCGGTTTCGAGGTCATGTATCATAGGCTTGCACTTTCGCTAATGTCATTGTTCTTAATTAATTGTTGACAATATACTTGTTGATAAATTCTGACTAGCTACCAGAAATTTCAATTTTAAACTTTTTGCAATTTTATATATTCTATAAAACGTGTGTTCATCTTTTGTGCAAAATGTAATACTACGATATAATTAATATCTATAATTTAAAATATATGTAATTTTTATTTCCTATTTTGCAATTCTTTTAAACTCTTTTGGGATAATAATTTTCATAATTCACCAAAAATGAATAATTTTATAACAGTTACATATAAAAGTCCTAAGATAAAAGTTCCTGACTTTAATAAAAAAATTTTATTAACTCTTACTGTTTCATAATTTCTAATCGTCTGTTTCCCAAATATTGATATTTTCAGGATATTGTGATATTTTTTTATGACTTACTAATGAGCAAACAGAAAATGAAGATAATATAAACACTACTGCAATGAATTTGGATTAAGCTTAATCTTGCAATATGTATTGGAATCATTGATGTTGATAAAAAAGCTTTTTCTTCTCACTTCGTGGCATTCCGTTATCTTTCTCTTCTAATCAATATCGCAACAAGTTGCAACGCGACCCCGAAACACACGAGAAAAACTTCGGATTTGATCTGATATAAATATCAAACTAGATTTAATCTGACTTAGAAATATATCGCATATAGGATAAAATAAAATAAAATAAAATTATACATATTATACAAGCAGACTTTATACAATACTAATAAATTACTTTTCATAAATTACAAATCATAAATAATTATACATTTTAATTTATCTGATTCGCTTTCTATTTTCCATTATATTTTTATGTCAACTGAGGAGTAAAAGTACTCTGGAATTTTGTAAAAAGGAGTAGCTTGTGATAATTAATTATTGTAATTAAAAAAAAAATTCAAGCTTTCTTTATAAAAAACATTTAAGAACAAAGGGGTTAAATTATTTTCAAGCACAAACGTAATTCGAAACATTCGAGCTCCAAATCGCACCGAGTGACCCTTCGCAGGACTTTTCATCCCCTTTTGCTGGAGTGGAGTATCTCGTGTAGTAATGTGCTCCTGCTGCGACGACAAGAACGCCTGCGCGAGAATAACGAACGATTTCATTTTCGCTCGCGTAACAATCCCTTGATAATTGGTAAACGGTTCGATAGATAGAAGCGATTAGTCATAATGACTAGAAACTTCATTATCTCCGGGAAAACATTTCCATTCCCATGTATTTTGAAATAAAGGTTATATGCGTATTCGCTCTCGTCTCCACCCTCAATTGCCAGACCGTTAGGTGCTGCCTCGTCCTGCGATTCCATCACGGGATTTTTCCATCATTATTGATCCTTGGCGGGACCGTCGTTTACCTTGCTCCTCGAAACAGCGGAACTCGTGGGTGGCCAGAAATGGGTCAGGGCTAAGCGAAAGCGTGCCATGTTCCATTTTCACACGATGTTCTAGGTTCGTAACAAAGTGTCCTATTTATATACTCCTTTCGAAAATATATCGCTTGGCGTATTCACGTCCATCGGCGTAAAGGCATTTCGCTGTTTACCTCCAGATCACATATTCTACAGATATATAATATTACAGTAGAAATATATTATAATGCAAATTTTAATTTAACCCTTAAGTAGGTGATTACAGCACTCTACGCATAATCTTAAAAGCTTGCTTCTGAAAAAGGAAAATGAAACGAATTGCCCAAAAGTTTTAAAGTTCATTATTTTACATTCCTCTATCCCACATAAGAATATAAATAATGTAAATTTATACATACTATTAAAAAAATATAATTTTTTAAATGTAAAATTTATTTACAGAATGTTCTGAGCATCTTACTTACCTACTTAAAGGTTAAGATATTAAGTTAAGAATAGAAGAAAACACGAGGCAAGGGTTTTTCTAAAAACTATTAGTAACATAAAACAACATCGATTTATTCAACACAAATACTTGCACATTATGATAGAGGTTTGTAGTAATAATGATATAATAATGATAATAATATTCATATGTACACGAAATAAGGCACGTTTGATATATTAATTAAATGCGCGACGGGCCCGTGCATGGGAAACATGGGTCTTTTTTCTTTCGGCGGTCGCGCGTTAGTCGCGTTTATAATTACTATCAATCGTCTCCGTCCCTTACGATATGCAACGTCCTTACCAAATGTAGAAAATGTCATATATATATATATATATAATCTGTATAAACGTCTTCGACCTGCACTCTTGCGTTCGCGTTTGCTCGCGTCGTACCATTAGGAATGAATCGCGAGGCGGATTCTCGCATGCGAGATTACCCGCGACTTACACAATCACACTCCCTAAGCTATTCAAATATGTCTCGTATCGCGCATTGGCAAAATTGCGTCTTCGAGAAACTCGATTAATCCTAAAATGAGAATCGCTAGTTAGTTGTGTCTAACTAAGCACGCATTCGTACGCGGGCCAGCGCTCGCTACTTCCTTTCTCTCCTTCTTTGCGAATTATTTTTCGCAGTTAAACGTATGTAACGCATTCATACGCCCACGATTAATTACACGCCAAATCGCAAAACCTAGCGCGACGCGGCTCACGCGAAAAGTGCATCCGCGCAACTCTGCAATTTTCATTGCGATATCTGAACCTTTTATTCAGCTGATGTTAATAGAACTATATACGCTTTTTCTTAATTTCCGTCAAGAAAAAGTTCCGTACATGATATTTTAATTTCTTTCGCCACATTTCTTTGACATATGAAATTTCACAATTATGTTCTCAAATGTAACGAAGAAAAGATAAAAAGAAGAAAATTGCATCACATGATTCGTAGAAGAATTAATAATAATACAGGCCAATGCCTGGTTTCAATCGTCGATTTAATAATTATGCATTTCTGCACATGTAATGATATTTGTGATTTTGTTGGCACGCAAAAATCATTTTCAAATTTGAATACCTAGAAAACTTTACGGATAAAATTGTTAGACCACTAAATTAGACCATTCTCAGGCGAACATGTCATAAATTTTTAAACACGTAACTAACAGGTAAAGAGACTTGTTAATGTATTTTAGATTTAAATCTTACTTTTATATACGAAGACTGTATTATGCGCGTCGATTCTTGACCGCACTCGTATAGTGATATGTAGCTAAAATTATAAGAAACGATATTTCCTTATAAAAGTGTACTTTTTATAAAGTATTCGCTAGCGAATTTACACATCCAACTAATCGCCGATTCACGATCGCGAATCGTTCGCGGCTGTCGAAAGCGAAGACGATCCGCTTACGATTAATAATTCATACATGTTCATACACTTAGTGACACTCTCTTAGATCTACTTAGGCGGTACTTACGTTCTCTGAACTGGCATCAAGACATTGTATCTTACACGAATGTATTGTACAAACAGAATCAAACAATTCGTCTCCGGAATGTTTTACCGCTCTCCTCTCTCCTTTACGCGTTTCTAATTAAATCTACGCGAGTATCTAAATTAAAAACTAAATATATATTCTCTTTTTGTTACACACGAAATGTCACCGTCATCATCTCGGCGAGTCTGGAATGTAAAATTCACCTCCGAAGAGGTAGCAAGAAAGAGACTATGAACGATCGACGAATGCTATCGCGGATAATCGAATCGCCGATTAGCGATATGCCATCTGGCAATTGTTTTAACATGAGGAATGACGTTAGTGAATGATATTATTGCATACATTTTCGAAATATTTCTCTCGAACACTGAGAAAAGCGTGATTGGGAATAACTTGAAGGTAAATCATCTTTACCCCTATAAGATGCATGCTATCTCATGGGCCGTTGCACGAGAACAATGCAAATTGTTCAAACGCAATTTGCATTAAGGGAGCTATAATTCTCTTGACGGTTTTCCCTCAAATCCGCACATGGCACTCCAAGAGTTAGCAGAAGGGCATGATTGCGCAGATATCGTCTAATACAATCTTCTGAAATCATTCGGTACACGCAAACATTACGTGTTTTCATTAACGGCAATGTAGGTTCACTATTTTGTAGGAGTTCGTCCTCGGTTATAGCAAGCTTAAGATGGGAATATTTGAAATTTGGCACTTGATTTTTCTAAAGGATAACGGCCGCGTTCAAACTCGTCGAAAACATTCTGCAGTTTGTTCTTGAAATTGCCGTAGTATAGAGACAGAAAGGGAAATAATTTGCTACTCGTTATACTCAACGATTCGCTCGCTAAGATCGACACAACGTGTCGTTTCTACGACAGTATCAAGCATCCCGCTTCCCTTTTGATCCTCATGGAAGCGCGAATGATCAATGAACGAAAGTGATGATCGAGAGCTATTTCGATGGTCGATACAATCACGTTCGTACACGATCACGTTCGAGCTAATTTCTCGTAATACTCTTAGTACTTAGGGCTATCAATATATGAAACTCAAATCATAATCGATTCGAGCGCCATACAGTGCTCGGAACTTATTCTAATTAAATGCAGTTTCTCGAGTACAAAATTCTCAAAGTATATTGTTCTCGCAAACGTTTCGTTGCATCGATCGATCTTTTATTTCACACATTTCAAGCTCATCGTCGATGAGAAGTCGATGATGGACTCTTTCGTTCTCGTTCCTTGAGAAAACGCGTGTAGTTTAAGTTGGTCCATCAAGCGATTCCGAGCGGTTCCGCAGGAATTTTCGCAATGTCTTGCGGAATTCGTGAGATTTATCTACCAAAGCGGGTCTTGGCGATTGAGAACCGTTTCCCTGGTAGCCAAGATCCGGCGCGATCAGAAGCGTGATTGCGATTGTGGGAATGACGACGCGAAAAGGCGCGGTATCACAGCTTCGATGGATCGTAATTCTCGAAGGACCATCGCTGTCTCAGGGCATTGGGCGAGCATTCTTCCATCACCAGTTGTTGCTTGCTCTCTGTAATCGCCAGACATTTGTCGCTGCTGCCGTGCCTGATATGATTAGTCTGGAAATAAAAGTACGGGATGATTCCAGTTTTCCTTCGAAGAACAATTTCAAGAGAGATTAGTTTACATAAAAATACTAGCTAGCTAAATTGTTTCACTTAATATCAAAATCTATACTCTCATAGATTAGCAAAAGAATGTTTCGAGAATGGTTCATTACTTGAGGATTGTATATCCATTGTTGATTTCCTTTACTGCCATGACAAGGATAGAGAATAACGTCGCTGCCGCTGTAGTCCAAGCACGACTCGTCTCGACGGATTTCGCCCGTCTTACTGAGCATCCAGTACTGCGATAGACAATCTTGATTAATATTTCCAAGGATTGCAGACTTGTCTACGACCAACGAGATTTTAACAGCCGCCCACGAAAAAAAAAAGAAAAAAAAACATTTTGCATGAACAATCAATCGGGGGAATAAAGAATTGCTTTTAATAAAATTCATATTAACACACGGGGATATTTTGTTATTGTAAAAATGTAAAAGAATTTGGATAAAATTTCGATAGTTAATATGTATGAATTCCTCTCTCTACGGTTTACAAAGCGCTCGTACCTGTTTCAACACAATTCGTCTCCGATCAAACAATAATATTCACAAAATCAGAGATATGGCCAAAAACGTAAACCGCGATAACGCAAAAACGTAAAATCGTCCGTTCCGCGCATTTAATCTGTCGCATTGCGTGCTCGCGGGGGATGTGAAAATATAAGCGTGGCGCGTATTCATTGCACCGGTGTATTATCATGAGCGCGACGAGCGTGGGTAGACGCGGATTTTCATGGTGCTGCCGGCCGATCGATTGCACGCGCCGCTTGTAAAATAACTTGTCCCGGGCGATCGTGCGCGAGCGAGCGAGCGAGCTAACGAACGTGTGCCGTGCCGTGTGCGACCAACAGTTATTTACCGCGGGCAATGTGCAGGTTTGCACGGGTTTGCACGAAGGTGAACGCGTGCGGCGCGGCGGAAGCGCGTCAAAGCGATCCGGCTCTCGTAATGAGCGCCGGTCGTCCGATAATGGAATCCGGCGGCCCTCGAAATTGCGCTTATCTAACCGGACGCCGCGCCGCGCCGCGCCGGTTGTCGTTGTTTGTGCAATTCCAACTGCCTGGAATGGACAGCGAGCGCCAAGCCTCGAGCCGTATGTGTCGCTCATGAAATATTCTTTGTGCGGTTCTAACTCAACATGTCGATCGCCGAAGCGAGATTCAGAAACGCGAATTCATGCCGGCGCTCGTTGAAGTCACGACAGTTCATTTCAGGGAAAACAAAACATTAAAAAAAAAAACGTGAGGCGGATAATAACGCGATAAATGAAAAAATAACGGCGCAAAGGATTGTCGCGGATCTGCATATACCTATATGTATTCGCGCGATTATAATTATCACTAATTTAATACAATGAACGAGCGCGGACTGTGAATTGGGATTGCGGCTGTCAGAACCGTCGGGTCGACAATATAGTTGTTTTGAAGTGCTTTACAAGTATAATTAGGGGATAGTGGGTACGGGGGATAACGAGAAGCACAAGCATTCACCGCACACATGTATCATCAAGCGTCGTTAGCCATGCACGACCCGCGTTCCATTCTGCCTGAAACTCTCACTCAAATCAGAGTATATTATGTTGCGTTGCCTGAAGTACATATAATGCAAGTGTTATCTGACGCACATCGCTATGTCCATCTCGCATGCTCTATGACGGTAACCGCATTACTTTTCGCACATTGTGGTAAACGAGGAAGAAAAACAAGATTCGAAAATGGCCAACGGCGATGGGATTTCGCGAGGGACGACGCGTTATCGGTGTTCCCATTGTGTTCAGTAGTAGTACGATTACAGCGGGATAGCGATGTTATATCATGATTCCTGAGCATGATGATAATTCTATGTATACAGCAGAGAGAGAGAGAGAGAGGGAGAGCAGATATATGGATTGTAGTGTGTGTAAACTGACCATCCGGCGACCGCAACGGCTATCTCTCGCGATGCACTCGCCTTCCATCCGATGATACGATTATTCATCTTCCATCATCCGCGCTCACGACTGATCCCGAATCGCCGATGTGCATCCCAGCGCGCTGCGTCCCTTTTCCCCACGTAGCATAGAGGGTCGCGACTTTATCAGTGTCACGCGGGCGACGACCGAAAGCGTAATTGCCGTGAAACCGCGGCTTAATTGCGAGGGCAAACAGCTAAATTAAAGCAGCGCTTTACCGGGCTAAGCAAGCACCGCCGACTGATTGTGTTTTTGGTTGTAACCGGTCGCCACGGTTGTTAAACGCCGGCGTTTCGGTATTCGCGTACACGTATAGTTACGTGCTTGTACGTGAAAGACAGGAAATACGGAAATACCTACGCACGCGTGCGCGTGTTTCGTGTACGAGCTCTAATAACAGACCGCGCAATCGACCGAACGAGTGCAAGAAACAAGATAAAGCACGGATTTACATGGTACGCTCGATCCCGCCGAGAGTGGCAAGCGTAAGCTCGCTAATAAATGAACGGAGTAGGTCGTTGATGAAATTGCCGCTGTTGTTTTTCGCGCGTTTATCCGCGCTGCGTTTGTCATCGACGTAGGTTCGTAGGTAAAAGAAATAGAGACACAAAAACCACGATAAACAGTTACATTTTTATTCGAATTTATTTTTATCAAACTAATTACCAAGCCTTCGTTTTGAGAGTTAAAGAAGTTGCGCGATAAAATATCGTATAACACACGTACGAAAGATGAAATTTACATTGTCAAAAGATGAAAAAGATGAAAAGGATAGAATTGTAAAAATGTCCAAGTGCATGCGATATTTAGGCGATATTTGCACTTTGATATTCTCACTCTTGTACGTGGGTTATGGGAGGAGCCAAGTCGATGATTAAATCTAAGTCTACTATATCAATGTGAGAAATGATGATAACACGGTAAGAAATCGTGCCAAAAGGCAGCAATTGGGGTCATCTCACCGAGAGGCAGTAGAGACATGGATTGATGAGCACCTGCACCAGATTAGCGATGCCACTAATCGCGTCGAAACGCAGATTAGTGCCAGGTTAGCATGCACGCGATCGCACATGCGTTCTAAGGATCAGTTGTTTTTACAAGTCGCTTATATAAAAAGATTTATAACCCCGAAACCAGATATTAGATCAGAAATATGCCTGCCACCCATCTATCGACAGATTAGGAAAGCTTCGACATGTAGGGTAATGTCATGAATGTCCGTTAGACCGTTAGTCACAATCGTTTTCAAATCAGCTTACAACAGTATTGTTTAAGATTGGTGAAAATTGACGGGTTCGCGAATGTGTGTACCTGATTGCCGCCTTGACGGTGACAGGGATACATGCCCACTGGCTGATGTAGGTCTTCGATTTTCCCTGATGAATCTATACACATTCCGCTAGTAACTTGTCGTATCTGCGTTAGAATTCAAGAGAAATTCACACGGTTACTCTGGGAACGTGAAAGACTCGCTCATCCACCAGCATTTCGTGCGACACAGTGCACGATTTTGTCTTTTTTCGCGCCGCACGTTCGAGAATATCCAAGCAGCCGGAAGCGCGAGCACACATGGCATTGAATGAACAAGCGCGGGTGCGATTAGGCACTCGGCCGTCGTTGGGGAAATGATAATGGATCGATATGTATCGCCAATGAAACGGAAACTCGATTTTCTAGTAATTTGGTATGTAGTTTCAATTAGCTTCGCAGTGGAATTACGAGACGCACATTTCGAAACGATTTCAATCCGTGTACATTGTTTATTCACGCAGGATTATACGATAATAATTAAACTAAATACCGGCGGTTCGCAGCGACTAACAAGCGCTATCGTTGTTCCGTGGCTGAAAGCCAAAACAATCAGTTCATACAAGACAATTGGAAAATTTTGCAGAAACTAAATAGCTATTATTTTGCAGTAAAAAAGATAAAAGCGAAATAAAATGAGATAAAACAGAATGAATTAAATATTATACTGTAGAAGAAGCATTTTTATTAAATAGTGTAAAAACAATATATGTGATAACATATATTAAAAATAAAAAATTATAAGGAAGCCAACAATTCGTTTAGTTAACATATATATATATATATATATAATCGAGGCCCTTTTAAAAACTATCAATGCGTTTTCTAATATTAATAATTTTGCCTTCAAAGCATTTTAGATTAACTTTCATGAAAATGCTGCTCATAGCAAGGTATTCTAATTACATTACTGATTGTGAGTCATAGAACTAGTCAAGTTTTTTTTATAATCTTGATTTACAACTACTTATATTATACAATTTAGAAATGTAGATTTTTGCTATCTAATCAAAATGACGAATTTCTCAAAATGATATTTCATTTCATTTCCTTTTATTCTATTCATTCGTTAACAAAATAACAACTATTTAATTTTAGCAACTTTTCAATTGTCATTTTGTATGTCGAGTAGCAGAACGATTGATTGCCACCAATATAGTTCACCATACCGGTCGTATACATACTAAATTCTTTGATTTATACTATAATTCAATTTATAAATCAAATTACCGAAATTTGATTACTCACAGAATCTTTAATTTCTATTACGTACGTATTATCAATTTTGACACTGTGACGTAATAAAACACGTTATTTTGCAGTGGATATACTATCGTAACAAACAGCAAACGTTCAACGTCTCGAAATATAGTCACAAGCTCGTATGTATAATACTTGCAAACGCCAGTGACAGCGTGGAGAACTTCATAGCAGAAAGTAAAAATCAAATCAAATTCAACAAAAATCGTGTTTTCGTTTTGAACTTTGAAAACAACAGTTGCACACATCAAGCATGGACAAGCATTTCATGGGACAATGTGTTTTGTGGTGAAGGAAATTTTTCAGGAGGATGTCTATTGTACCTGATTTCCACCCTGTCGATGACAGGGATACAATCCGCACGGTTTGTGCAAATCGGCCTTGCGAGCGGGCGAGTCCAGACAGGTGTTACCGCCTTCGCCGAGGTTTCGGACCTGTTTGTTGTTAGTAATTTTTTCGAACATTAGCGTGTATCCGTCGCACCGTTAGTAATACCCAAGAATATATGTACATATTAATAAACAGATTACTGAGAAAGAAAGTAACGTCAACGATGTGCCATTTGGACATTTCTGTTTAACATTTTTGTTATTCCCTCGACTTGACATTTCATCATGAAACTTTGGAATTAAAATGGAAAATTATCCTCGATCGAATTAAACGTGAATAAATATTCCATTCGAAATGTCGATAGAAAATCGTTGACGCGCTGCCTTATTAAGATCAGATGATAAAAATACACACGACGACACACGACGTTTTTATACCTGTAAAATAATGTAATAATTAGATTAATAAATCCATGTTTGTAGTAATGAGATTCGTTGACTCAATCTCTCGCGAGAATCCTGAAACAGAGTATGAAAAGGCAGAAAAGTCACGCTCCTCGTTGCGCAATGATTCTTGTTTTTTTTTCATGCACAGATTCTGCGGTATGCATGCCTGGCAAAGCGGGGACCGCGCAGACCGCGGATTGCGTTCTCCATTTTTCAAATAGACGGAAACAAATTGAAAATGAGGTCTGCTCGTATTTCGCTCGGTCCGACGCGTGTGTTCACGACCGAACCATACGATGTATATACGTGTGTGTGTGCGTGTGTGCCTGCGTGTAACAGCAGGTGCATTCAGTTACGGCGCTCGGTCAGCAGTCCTGATTTCACTGCATGCAAGAATTCTGTGGTCGTTGCAGTTTCAACGTGAACATCTTTATTCTCTTCCCCTCCCCTATCCCGCCCCACCCCTATGTCTATATCCCTCGCCTTCACCCTCGTAGGAGTCGTCCTCGTCGTCTGCGTCCTCATCGTCGGTCGACTGGAATAAAAACTCGTGATTTATAACCAGGTATCCTGGAGGTCGATAAAATTTTCAAAGCTCCTGCTCCGCTGGCATTATTAAAGGTAGCTCGAAGGCTCTTAGTGAACTCAATGAGAAATGTGATCTGGTATTTAGACAACTTTACGATCCTAACTCTGCAGAGAGTTGGAGAGCTCGAAATAATATAATACCGCGGAAAGTCACGTATTTCGGACATTTTTAGAATTTCATACCTCATTATTTTATAATCCAAAGAAGAACGTGTCTCCTTCATTTTTCCCCGGTAAATCTCTGCATTCACTCGTACATGAGAAAAAATTTGCTAATGTTAACAGTGATTTTTCAAGAATATTTCTAGAAAGATTATACGTGTAACAAGCACTGCATTCAAAGATACTATATGAATGCTTTATTAAAAATCATATCATAGGATGTGGGATCGATGCAAGATTGTAAGGGTTAAACAAAATCGCGTTTCGCATTGCGTTTTTATCATTCCATACGGTTTTGCATAGGAAATCCATGCAGTTCGCGTAGAACGACTCAAAAATCGTGGTATACCCTCGGAGAAATATACGCCCTCCCCTGCACGTACGTAGAAACACGTGCACATTCGAAATTATTCACGTCGTGTACGATTTCTGGACGTCGTAGAGCCGTGTGAACTATAAATCCAGTCATCCCTCTTCCTCCCTTACGATAGGAAGGTCGAGCGTGATTTAGCCGGTTCTGCGAAAGCAAATAAAAAGTAAAGAGAGGAGAGAGAGAGAGGCGAGAAACTCGGACGGAAGACAGTGGGAATATAAGTTTCGCCTCGAACGGAATTGTTATTTTGTGTGCAATGCGACAATGAAGTCCAAAATCCTCGTCGCACATAAATTCTGTTATCGTCAAATTGCTCATTGCATTTCGAAATGAAATCGAAAACAGCAATGCGATAAAAATTTCGGATTTCGAAATTGTTGTTTTAAAGAATCTGGAATTTTTTAAATAAGTCGAATTTATTTAGCTAGAAGCACATCGCGCATTATGCAGAAATACTGGTTCTACGTAGACGAGTATTGATTATTTGTCAGCGTTATGTATAAATTATGATAAAATGTTTTGCAGGCATTTGAGTATTAAAAGAAATTATTAAAACTTCCAATTTAAAGATTCATGTTAGATTAGTGATAATTAAATAAATTCCTTAAAATTTAAATCTCTCTCTTTGAGTTGACGTGTATTAAAATAAAGACAGAGTCTACTATCCAAGATAGTATGTATGTTACAAGAAAATAAGCTTACGCATGAATACGTATTTCCTATTTTTTGGAACAAACGCGTCTCAATATTCTCGACAACACATAGCAACAACTTAGAAGAACAAATGATTGCGTGCGGATAATCCAGGATCGGCAAAAACGAGTTCTACCGGCATGCCGTGTAACTTAAACAACGAAATTGTTATTTCGTGTGTGGCATGGATCGCATTCCAAAGTGCGCGACCACGTAAATGCTACTTCGCGAAAATGCGCGCCCATCCTTTATACATTCCTCCTTTTTCCGCGATGCTTCCTTTTAGTTTGCCTATTCCGCCTCCACTCGTGAATGCCAGTGTCAGTGCGCTTGGACAGAGAAAGAAAAGAAAGGCGGAAAAAAAAAGGAAGAAAAGGAAAAGAGTGAAATGCATTCCTTGCCTTATCCAAGGGAAAACGTGAGTGGATCGCAACAAACGACAAGGCAGGCAGAGAGAAGACAAGGGGAGTAAAAAGCGGCGGGGGACAAGGGGATTGGTTCGATAGTATTCGAACTCCCGAACTATTTCGAATTCCGTTGCTTTTTATTATCATGTTCGATCGGAATATTGCCTTCACACGGCGGAACGCGTGTACATACCGTGTGTCATGTCGGCAACGCCGTGAAATTGTGATTCGCGAGAACCAGCGGTGCCATGACCAGCGGCTTTTGTCTCGCAAACAACGCGACGGAGTGCCACAATTTGTGCGCATGAATACGTGCGTACGAAACACTATGCGAGCATATATCTCAATGCTATTTCATCCTCAACAAACATACTATACGTAAAATCAAATGCAATGAAATACAGAAACGTATACGTAACTGTCGATTTCTTAATTTCTCGACAGTGTGATGAAAATTATATGATGAACGAGAGAAATAAATCACCTATTCAAAGTCCAGCCCTAATTTTACGCGTTATCCATATAATTTGTAATAACAAAATCAAAAGTTTCATGTCGGATCGCATTTTTACAAATATGGCAGAGAAGTTGAGGAATTTAAATTTAGCTAATAATTTAGCACATAATTTTTTAATTATCTTTCTGTGCAAAAATAGATATGTCAAATGTAAATATAAAGATTAACCTATCGAAACAAAATCAGCTGTAAATGTCGCTATTTTCTAAATATAGATACATATTCTTGGAAGAAATGGAGAGTTGGTATGTGCTCCCGATATTTAAAATTTAATTTCTATTTTTACTTTTAAATTTAAAGTTAAAAATATTTTAATTTTATCGAGTGCACACATGCTAGTTCTTCATTTCTTCCAAGAATATTTATTTAAAAGCAGCGACATTTATAACTGACTTTATTAACACATACACACATATTCCTAAAAAATGGAAATATATTTAATTCTAAAAATTCCGTCTATTTGTATTTTCATAGCATGAAGTATATAATATATATATATATATTTTTTTTTTCGACATACATATACGCTTGTAAAAATTAGAGTTAAATACATTTCCATTTTTTGTATGACACGAACTAATTTCTGCCTTTCGAATCGTAGTTGTCATAAATCTTCGTTCATCAAGTCTTTGAAACGAAATATTTATCACTGGACGACACACGTCCCTAATAGCTTTCGGTATTATTAAAAGCTAAAATATTTCCCTGATAAGAGAGCAACGAGACGCGCGCTCGAAACTTACTCAGAATTTCCGGTACAGCGAACTTTAGTATGCCCGGTTATCTTATACGGCGTGCGCAGAGATAGGCGCGGAGGACGAAGATGATCCTGATACGAGAAATTCAAGTGAAGTGTGAAGATAACGAGACGTGCCGAGACCGGGCGTGAAAAAGAGACGGCCGAGGTGAGAAAGAGCGCGCGCGGAGAGTAGACAGAGATAAATGAGAGCAAGGGGGATGGGCACGAGCACGAAATATTTGAGTCGCGTGACACTGTGACGCCTGTAATGCAAGCCGAGGTTTAACCCCCGCCAGGGAACGCTACGATTCTCTACACAGGGTTGAAAATAGGCGGGGATGGATGATAGAATGCATTATTCAATAACACGATTAATCGACAACATAACTGAATGTCGTGTTGCGGAACGCAACGAAATATCTATACGCAAAACATTCAAGTTACATGTTATCGTTACATAGTAACGATAAATGAGAGGGATGATCAGAATTATGTGATGAATCGATATAACAAAATTAGACTTTATAACAATATGGGTAATACGATGAGTAAATACCATTTGATCGTAACCGATATAATATCTTAGATAAATAAATGTGAATAAAAATATATTTCATATTTTTGCAAAATTCTTGAAATGACGCGTTCTATTTCCTAGGTTGGGATTTTCTCCGAGAACAAAAACTCCGAGGGAAAAAAGGCTTTACGCCACAAGCGTTTTACTTTCTTCGCGACTGCGTTGAACATTGTGTTAAACACCGGTGCACCGGTTGCTGGGTTAATGCACTGTTGGCTTATGATAAAATTAAAGGAACAAAAGGAAATTGGAAGGAAAGTGAGAGAGGAAGAATGATGAAGTATGAAATATTCGTGTCGCGTGACGCTGCAATTTATCCGTCGGTGCAACGTCGTTAATACCGGTGCCTACGTACCGTGACTTTGTCACGGAGCGGCACGCTGCATGTGAAGAGAGTAACGTGTAACGATCCGCGTGGAAATGCAAGGTACCCCGTCCCAAGCTGGGAAGGCGGATTTATCCCTCCGGGTATAACGGTTGCAATCATTTTGCAATTACGAATGCAGCGGAACGGAGTGACACGGGTAGCTAACGCGGTGAAAATAAATTGTGAAATAACTAACAGTCTGTGCCCCGAATCGCGTACATATCGAAACGAATTGATTAATAAAACACGTCAACAATATTGGCGGCGACGAGACGCCGATAAAAGATTGATTAAACGCGCAGAAGCGGTTACTGGAACTGGAAACAGCCATGAATAAATCAAACGTGGATAAATGGTGCGATATCACGAATAAATTTCTACATTTGTGACGAGAGCAGACCGATGTCGACATACAAATTTATAAGTTTTTCGCTGGCATTGAACTTAATAAAACAAACAAGAGTTTACGCGTCCTATTCTTCTCGTTCTCTAACATGTATATCTCATGACGATTTGCATCTTTGACGATTTGGATTACCCGTGTCTCTGTGAATAATCCAACGGTGACAATATCGTTACGGGCAACCGCGACGAGATCCAACAATCATTCCGTAATTACCGACATACCAAGACGGAATACAGCAAAAGGAGGAAGAGGAGAACGAAGAAGCGAGGAAGAAAAGGGAGGAACAACACAACGGAAATAAATCTCCGCGTGATTGATCGTTCGCCATGAATCGCTCGCGTCCGAGCGATATTAATGCACTATCAGTCGTGACGGGTTCGCACGGATGACTCGCGTGTACCGCGTGTGTAGCTTTGACGAGTCTGTCGCTCGTCGCCTCTGCTCTGCCTGATATTTATGCGCACGTTTTTTCGCAGCAAAACGAGGGTTACGAGAAAAAAAAAAAGACAGCTCCGCTTAAAATTTCGCGCGCATTGGGATACAACTGCGCTTCTGCTACTGCATTCCCGTTTCTCCTTCTTCTCCTTTTTCCTCTTTCCTAGTATGTCAATGAGTCCTGAAATATGGAACACGACAACCGGCACCATCGTAACATCTATCATAGTATAATGGTGCAACATAGAAATGATTCGGTTCCCAATTGATTAATAAAGTTTTGCAATTAGATATCTTGTCTATTATTCTTGCCTTCATTCAGAAGCATGAAAAAAAATTGAGATCAATTAGAATCACAGTATTATACATTTCTTTCTATTTGAAAAATAAAATTAGCGATTAAGGAGTGAGGGGGAAGGAGGGGATGGAAGAGAGAGAGAAGTTTCTCATTAATAAAATAATTTAATCACAAACAATAATTAAAGTCGGGCTCTTGAGATAAAAATTAAACAATAAATGAAAAAACGGGCAATTAAGAGCCTAAATTTGCAGTAATTGGAGCGATTATTTCAACATAATTTCTCAGTACTACATATATATAACAAATACCGAATGTTTCTGCTCAGTTCAAGCCATCTTCAGCAGTCTAGTATAAAAAAAATCTCTTGATAAATAATTCCAAACATCTTGGTAGTCTCGTATAATACTACTTCCTTAATATAATCCAAGTAGTCGTAAATCAAAGTAATCAAATGCAGCAAGAGAGTCTTCCAGATTACCAAATTTGAAGTATGTAACCGTCATTTAGCTGTTAGACTAAGTGCGAGCTACTGTACTCCATAACTGCACAATAAAATACAATAAATTAAATCACGATCGGCAAAAAGAAGGAAGTGGTATTATACGAGACTACCAAGATGTCTGGAATTATTTATCAAGAGATTTTTTTATACTAGACTCTTCTCTGCTGAAGATGGCTTGAATTAAGCCGAAACGTTCGGTATTTGTTATATATATATAGTACTAAGAAATATATGTTGACATATAATCGCTCCAATTACTGTGAATTTAGGCTCTTAAATGTCCGTTTTTTCATTTATTGTTTAATTTAATCACATTTCATGATATGGAGATATAATTACTTTTATCAATAAAAATGTATAAAATGTCTGATTAAACTCAGATGTTTGATAATTTTCCGCGTATTCTACTTTTAATGTGATCATTATTATTCAACCGACTGTCGAAATGACATGACACAATTTTTTCTCTCAATTCTTGTTTTAACTTTTGACTAAATTTTTAACATATTAACCATGCACGAAATTTGGCATACGATATATTGTTCAATGTAGAGTCGACTTTGTGAGCTCAAGTTTCAATCACCATTCAGCTTATTAACTTTGTGAGAATTGTGACTTACCTCACAATAGTTGACGTATCAATTTTTTGAAAGAAAAAACTTGGAAGATATTATTTTGCGATGCAATATTCGAACTACTCTATTAGGGGAAAATATTGCTGAAGGAGACTCAAACCATGAGTTGAAACGTTCTTTTCAGGTTTATAGATATTTAATAATAAGAAGACTTGCGCTAATTAATAACCAGCGTTGAATCCTATAGCCTGTACTAAACATTATTAATTTTATATTTTTCTAATTTGTTTTAATTAAAGGAGTCTATAAAAAGGTTATTAGTTTTTCGTTAGGTTTTTAATTTCTCAATGATCATATTTGACTTTGAATCCTGTTTTTCTAAAAGAAACATTGCATTTAACATCAACATGAAAGGATCAGGTGCGATGGACATGTTCGAAGAAAAATTTCCGGATTGCTTTTACAGAGGAACGAAAGACAACTTCTTCTGTAAAGGCGTTTGCTTTGTAATCAAGTTGCATTGGCAAAACCAGCTATACTACGTAGCCTAAGAATCTATAATATCGATCTGTGGGAATCGATTTCCGATTAGATATCGGACAAGCCTCCATCCGCAATCCGATCACAATTGCCCCGACCACGATTCACATTGTTTCGCAATCAAAGCGGCATGTTTCCAGTGTCATGAGCTCGTCGACATCGATCAACGCCTCTTGCTGCTAATATTCAAACTCGAGGAAATGTATTAATTAATCGAAGAACAAGATTTTACCGCTTTACAATATTTAAGCTGAATTTGTCGAAATTGCTTCATATTTAAACATTTTTTTTTAGCAAAAAGCTAATTAAAAAGATGTAATGAGGTAAAAAATTTCATTTTTTATCATGTATCAAAAGTGTTACTATAACGACAAATATCACGGTGGAAAAGATATTCGTAACTTATATAAAAAATAATATAAAAGAAAAGAATAATTCGACTCTTTTTTGATGACTATATCTATCTAACTGATTACATTTCCTTTCACAAAGAGCCTTCGAATGTTGTAACCCGACACCTTGATGGATCAAAGCCACGACAACGTCGTTAAAGAAGGAACCAGTCGTTCCCTCATCGTTTCCGCTTTCTCTTCCTTCATTCCGATTGGTGGTATTTCTCGAGCCGCGTAATGTCAGCAGCCGCTGAAAAAAAACGTTCAAGAGGAGAATGTGGAGTAGTCTTACCTCTCCGGAGGCGACTGCCTCGCCCGGAATAAAGAGTTCCGGGTAAACGTTGTCCAGGTACCACTTGAACGACTTGCACCCCAGTTTCTTCCTAAGAGCTTTTCGCTCCGATATGTCGCCGTAGTTCCCCTACAAAAGTTCAGTGTGTAGTAGAATTATGCTCACAATAAAAGATACAAAATATGAAAATTGTGTAGATATTAAAGTAAACATAAAGAGAGAGATTACAACACACAAAAATAATATGATTAAAAAATTTATAAAACAAAAATAAAAATAATAGTTAAAGAATAATTATCGATTAAAAATAAATCGTAAATAAAGTAAATTTATAATTCATAAGACTTTTATATTCCTTAGAATAGAAAATATTTCTTAAAAAATTTTTTGCCATAATTCAAATTAAATCGCAGAGATAAAAAAATTGATGAAGAACAAAAAAATTGACGATACAAAGTTTTATTTTTTGTATTTTACAATAATAATTATTTTTCAATAATAAAACGCTGCTTTATTTTTTATTCAACACTGGACCATCTTGTGTTTTCAATACTGTCTAACCCAACCATCGATATTACTACTGCGAACCTTTACATACGCCTAAAAATAGAGATAAACAAAGAGCGATTTATCTGATTACATTATGAAGCCATCCATGAGGACGACATTCTCGATAGATTCGATCATTACATAGAGCGACGTGCTTACGGAAGCGATTTATTCTCTACGCTTCGATTTATCTCGCCGATTGGATCTCGGCAGGAGAGCAGGGGCGGACAAGCATCAAGGATAAATGACAGATCGTTATAGAAGGGGACGAAAGAAACGTCCTACGACGGAGGAGAGCGAGGACATGCGCGCGAGCCTTAAGGGCACTTGGCGCGTTTATGGCCCTTTTTACGACAAGTCTTGGTCTACGATCCTCTCCATCATCGACCACCTTTATCGTTATCCTTCATCCCATTCCAACCAACCCATTCAGCCAGTGTTTACGGGAAACTTGGATTAAAGAAACATACTCGATGGTTTACCGATACACCGCGGCAAGAAATGGGATCTTTAGCTCACGATAAAAGATAATTTATCACTAATTATCTATTTCCTGACAGAGAGTATGTGCTAAAACTCTCAATATAAATTTTTTAAAATTATTCTTCTGTTTTTATATTACAGAATGTTTCTCTATCTGTTTATACGAGTATTGTTAAACGTATTGAAGTACATTTTCATTGAATCGTATAAAATCCTTGTTTCATTTTATTTTCCGCATCTTACATCGATCGTACTATGATAACTCGCTACATGGATTGCTCCCCCGTTGCATTTGCACAAGAGGTTGTATATGAAAAGAAAGTTATGCATGCGACGATGCAAGTACTCACCTTGTCGTGACCTATCCTCTGATAGTAGTACTTGGCGTACTCGTCCAGCCACACTTCACTCAGTCTTATGCTGTTCCTCTTGAGCACGTTCACGCCGTTGCGCCACTTGTAAGGCGAACGTTTCCTGAAGATGTGACCCACGTGCGAGCACGGCACGATTTCCAGGGTGCCTGAGAACGCGTCGAGTTATTAGATTAACGTTTTCATCCGGTTGAATTATACGTTTACACGTTGCTGGCTAATTTTAAGAATCGTGTAAATGCAAATAAGTAAAGCATAAAAATAAAAAAAGAAACATTTGAATAAAAATATAGATGCGTGCAATTTTTTCCGAAATAAAGAACAACGAAGATATAATGCATAAAAGAAAAACAATTCGCATTTAGCGCCAAAAACGAAATAAAGAAAAAGATAATTTTTCCATGTTATAAGATTACAGTGACTTAGAACTTCAGTTTCCTAAATTAGAAAAACAAAACCTTTTTTTTGTTGTTCATCATGCTGTCTTACCTCCGCACATCCAGGTTTTAAATGATAATTCAAGATTCTCGCCGCCCCATATGTCGAAGCCGCTATCGTATGTGCCGATCCGTTCGAAGAAGACTCGGTCTATTGAAAAGAGGCCGCCAGCCATCGTTGGTGACCAAACGGGTTCGGCCGGGTTTTTGTGCCTCTTTCTCTCCCTCTCTGGTACCGCGTGCCAATTGAACTTGTTAACAAATGTTGATATATGTCAAGAATCCGCCCACAAATGGTCATGATTTTTTGATCATAAAATATTACAAGTTGATAGTAACTTTATAAAATGAAACTCAAAAGTCATTTAAAAAATTAATGTCTCACAATTACATTTTCTAGTTTTATTTTTTTTTTAATCGCATCTTGTCAATTTAGACATATACAAAATAATTTTAAAAAATATAGATGTAAAACACTTTCTATATAATAAAATTCAGTCCCTTTTAAATTACACGATAGGTCAGTTTCTTCCCCAGTAAATAATTAGTTTGGTGTCACGCTGTCGCGTGTGAAAATCAATTGCATTCCGACAAGCAGACGTAGGTATTTTCTATCGTTTTCCAATGTTCGCAAGAGAACGGCGTGAAGATTTCGTTTACCTGGAGATTCCAATCGAATCCACCGACATTTACACCGCTCGAGTCGCGCCAGTGGTATTCCAGGGTAGTGTCGTCTATAACATCGATCACCGGACAAACTACCGTCGTCGGATCGCGCGCGATCCGATCCAGAAGAGGTTCCAGCCAGCCCTCCGTACATTCACAATGGCTATCCAGATACGTGAGGACCGGAGCTTTGGCCGCCGCAGCGCCTAACAAGCGCGCCCTGATAAGGCCCTCACGTTTATTCGCCCTAATAATTCTCACTTTTGGATAATTCATCATATAGTCTTCCAATTGGCGCTTGAGATGAGCTGCGAAAAAATTGATTTTTCGTTATTCCACCCGACAAAGTATCAAAATAACAAAATATCGCGACGCGTAATTAACTTAAATATTTCTATATATATTTAGTTATATTCTATATTATATCTTACGATTCGTTATACTAAATAAATAGAGTATTTGTGGCATCGTTCTATCTTAACTTTAAAATATCTTACATCCTTTTTATAGGAAATGTCGACATTTAATATTAAACAGTCACATAATTAATAGCATAATCTCATAATACGTGACGCAGCGTTATTGATGGAACTTGTCGTCTTTAATATCAGGATTTGCTCGAATATTAATCTCGCGGACCTGTAGATTTTGTCTCAACCGTTGTTTGCTAGACCTCCACCGATTTGGAATAGATATAAGTTGCCCGTAGGATCCATGCTTCGGTGAACGATAAATGCAACAATAAAGTCACGTGAATGTACCCGTTTCTCTAGGTTTCTCTAAAGTCGATTACGTCCTTAATGTCAGATTACGGTTTATTTACGATGTCATTCGCAAACTGTTGTGGTAACAACAATCACCCTTCTCGTTGTAAATTTATTCCCTATTCACAATAAATTTAATGCTAGATAGAAACAAAGATAAAATCTTGATATAATAATCCATTTTAATTACATTTTTCTTATACATATACACGTGTTATTAACATTTCATCATCTGGTAAAAAAAGTAGCTGCTTATTCTTCTAATAAAAATTATCTCTGTCCGCTAAATTAGCCTTTAATTCGCCATTAAGGTATCTTAACGATTGAATACAGAAAATGAACGTAGTTCACAAACTTTTGAAGATTTGTTTAGCTAGAAAATAACAGCTGTGTAACTTTATAAAGTTGTAATAAATATTAATATTATTACTATTATCCGATTAAAAGGTGGAATTTATATATTTTAGGCGATTTGAAAAGTACGCAGGGATCGTTGGGTTCATCTTTTTTCTTACTCAATTTTACTTACTGAATTACAAAATTGTGGCTAATCCTCGAACGTCACACATGGGTCTTTCGTGTCCACACACACACACACACACACACACACACACACACGCGCGCGCGCGCGCGCGCACATTAAAAATAATCATTTTTATACTTTAATAAAATAAAAAACTGCTTTTTTCTTCAAAAATCAAAGTTACAATTTTTTTTATCAAAACTGAATTATTTTCTTTTTTTGGTGCAGAAAGTAATTTTTATAATTTTTTTAAACATTTTTTCCAATGTTTGCATAGCAAAATAATTTAGTAGATATCTTAAAGAATATATGTGTGAATTTTTACAGAATTTTTCGAGCAATTTAAGAGCCTTAAAATCGAGTCGGCCCATGTGTAGTGTTTAAAGATACCGAAAATAAGTGTGATGTTCGAGGGTTAAAATTGTCCAAGTATTCGGAAAATATTTTTTTCATATCCTAAACAAGAGAAAACAACGGTTAGGTTAATTTTATCACTTTGTTGAACCATATCTACGAATTTTTCTTTATTAAAATAAATTATTATTAAAGTCATAACTTTTATTTGCACTATACAGGGTAGTCCATTTTAATCAATACAGTCAATTTTCTTCTAAAGTAGAATTGTTTCAAAGAAGATGTATTTTGGCCATAATTTTTTTCTAGATAGAGATATAAAAAAACCGTTAGTTTATGAGATATTTTATACTTTATTATAGCACATGTTGGCATAAAGTGTTAAATATTTCGTAAACTATTAATTTTTTTATAATTGTATCTTCAGTACAGTAAGTAAAATTGAATAAGAAAAAAGATGAATCCAACGATTCCTGCATGTTTCCCAAATCGCTTAAAATGAACTCCATTATCGCCACAGCATTTTATTATTTTTTAAGAATCTCATAGGACCATATACAGGGTGTTACAGATACATACTAGGCAGTACGACGAGTTGCGCGGCAAACTTTGCATGGCCAAGCGTGGTTTAATAGACAATGACAGTGACTTTATAACATAAACTTTATAATATAAATAATAAAACTTTGTAGTATAAACTTTATAATGTATAAAATCACTGTCATTGTCTATTAAACACGTTTGGCTGTGCAAAGTTTGCCGCGCAACCCGTCGTACTGCCTAGTATGTATCTGTAACACCCTGTACATGTGAGTACGCAACAATAGGAAACAAATACCTTTTAATGGTCTAGTTGAATTTTAAGTGCTCTTTTATATAATTCTATGTGAATTTATATATACTATGTATGTACTCGTATGTAGTCCTTTAAATTGCGCGCCAAAATAATGTTTCAGTTATGAAATGCAAACTCCATAAAACTATCGCAGTAATATTACAAATTAAATTGACTAGCAATTCGATGCTCATAAGCATCTTAGAACGATATCAATAATGCTGAATGATATTAAAATTTCTAAATAATTTTATTGCGTCGGCGAGAGATCGATTTATTATTGTTTTAAATTCCTTTATCCGTTTTTCATTTGAATATATACAATCTTGATCTTAAAAAAAAAAATACCAATATTGCCACTGAAAATCTTCGATGTCACTTGTGTGGATGTTTCGAAGTCTCAGTCTGTTATCTTGTATCATTTTTGACAAACTTAAGCGAGATGTAAATTTAAAATATATATCTGCCTATATAGTTATGGATCGCTAGGCAGCAATTAGCAGATATTCGTGATTTATTCTCCGTTAGGATGGCTTTATGAGGGACCGTACCACTAATCCTAAGCCTCTGCCCTGTAAGCTCGATTAACTATGGATAGTATAATGGGATTCTACGGATCAGCGTGTTTCGTGCAAGAACAATGATTACTGGACGAGGCACTTGATTTTATTCCCTTTTTGTTGAGTTGCGCGTCTGATAAGTTTTAATACAAAATCGTCATGCTCGGTTGCCATTCAGCTATTCCGTATTGCGTATCGGTTCACAAAAAGAATTTTTTCGTGCCTCGTGCCGAGATATAGAAAAATATATAGGGATCGTTGTACGGATCTCGCTTACAAATCGAGAAAATGTTCCTTTTGAAGTACATTGAAGTGTGTTGAACGAAGCGCGCTACGTCCTCGTTAGCTGCACTCGAACGAGAAGAGATGGACCGTAAGAGATCAGAGGTCAGACATTTAATGCACGCGCAACCGGCTCGCGCGCGTGGAATCCGCGCGCATTCCAAACCGAATTAATTTCTAATGAATTCCTCGAACACACAGAGGCACGCATAAACCGACCCTGGCCATTATTGCAGATTTCATTATGACTTTGCTGAGTGCACTATATGAGGCGTAGATAATGGAACCGCTCAAAGAGCACAGTCTGTCGCCGTTGAGAGCGCTCATAATTAACTCTGTAATCCCCATCGCCAATCTCCTTTATAAAAGCTAATTATCGTGCGTGAGTTTTGCCGAGAAAGGCTAAAGTCTACGCTGTAACATTCATTACAACTTTCTTGTGGACTTTATTAATCATTGAATTCATTTTAACCTACCGCACGTTTCGGCGAATAAAGAGATAATTTTTTAATATATTAAAAAATTATCATATAATATGCATATCATTGAAATAAAATATTCAATGACTAACAATAAGAAAATAATTATATATAAAGAAATTCATACGTATAAAGAAACACTCGAATTATAATTGCAAACTTAAAATCAATAATGGCGAGTAAGCCGGGAAAATGAGAGCAACAGCATGGTTACCGGTACGCAAGTAAAAGAATAATTTTTTTTACTTCGAATCCTTTATTCCATCAAATTGTACGTTTCGATTTACTTCGGAGTCCTCTTCAGCAATTGTATATGTCTCTCCTTTATATGTAAGAGATGAATCGACAGAAAATTGACAGATTTGATGGCAAAATCTATTAAAAAACCCACTAAATGAATAATCAATGTAAAATGCTAAGAAAATTCTCACGACTCACTTTAATGCACAAAGCATTCGTCTTGAAACCTTAGATCAATTACATAGTCAATTAAATCACATCGGAAATACGTTAATTATATAACAATTTTGCAGATAAATTACCAATAAATATATTAAACATATACAGAATAAAATAGATATGTTAGCTAAAATATGTCAGACATATAATTGAAAAACTTTGTTTTTAAATGTATCTTGTCGGTCATTGTACACGTCTATTCAGCTAGCACAGCCACTACAGCACAATCAAACGCGACCTATATCACATTTTTTTGCTATTTTTTTGCTAATTTTTTGCTCTATTCCTGATTTTTTTACTCCAGCCAATTCTAAAACCCATGGCTGTGCTAGCTTAAGACCAAAGTTAGCACAGCCACAAAAAAAAGCAGCAAATGAAAAATCAAGTACATATTCTTGAAGAGCTATTTTTTTGCTAATTTTTTGCTCTATTTCCTATTACTTTGCTCATTGTTTAAGTCGAAAAATTCCACCAAGAGTGTGGCTGTGCTGCCTCGCGTACAAGAGTAAAGTACCTTAAAGCAATTAATTGCTCAGCTCATTTTGGTGTCAAAACGTTTGTAGAATTAATTGCTCTAAGAATATCGTAAATCGGAATTTTTTGCTCACTGTTTAAATCGAAAAATTAGCCACACTCTTGGTGGAATTTTTCGACTTAAACAATGAACAAAATAATCGGGAATAAAGCAAAAAATTAGCAAAAAAATAGCCCTTCAAGAATATGTACTGTATTTCATTTGGTGCTTTTTTCTTTGTGGTTGTGCTAACTTTGGTCTTAAGCTAGCACAGTCATGGGTTTTAGCGAATTGGCTGGAGCAAAAAAATCAGGAATAGAGTAAAAAATTAGCAAAAAAATAACAAAAAAATGTGGTATAGGTCGCGTTTGATTGTGCTGAAGTGGCTGTGCCAGCTTAATAGACGTTCATTATACACGTACTGGAAAGATAATCGTCAACAACCAGTGATAACATTACATACAGAAGTAGAAGTTTATTACACATCGTTTAATATCGGTAAATAAATGTGATATAAGCCCTTTGTGTCGGATCGCAGATTTAAACCATTCTTTTGCATATGAATGTGAAGGAATTCCGAGATTAATCTTTTGTTTAAAGGCTCTGTATCCAGGATTTCGACATCCTGCCAATCAAAATTGTGATCAAAATTAATTCTGTGTTCTGTGATCATCGACTGATTACTAGTGTTCCATCTAATATGACTCTTGTGTTTATTTATATTCTAGTCTTCAATTTCCTTCCCGTTTGCCCGGGTTACTCGCCATTATTGATTTTAATTTGGAGAGTTCGTACTTTCGTACTTTTTATGGTTTTGTAATCTTAAATAAAAGCACGCATAAATTAATTTATCGTGTTTGCATTTTTAATTATCTTCGCGAAAAAGGAAAAGCACGAGATGCAGTATTATAATCTCCTTCTGTGATAAAGCAATCAGTTGTCTGTTAATAGTATATAAAATATTGGCCAGGAGATTGCTGAAGCAAGTGATTATGTTTATAGGTTTAACTTCCGGTCGGGACGAGAGCTTATCTTGAGCTTTTAATAAAGATTGCAGCAACTATCCTAGCTATATACACTGCTTTCCCGAACCCAGCTTAATCTCAGACCCCCTTTCTCGGGATTTTTATGTTCATCCGCCTGTATTATTCAGTAGGATTCCATACAATTACTAATTGCCCTTTCTTCGATATACGATTAAAACAAAAAATAATATAATATTTTAGTTCAGGAATGTTGACGCAAACCTTCATCTATTCTGAAATTGATATTTTATATGTATCGACGTGTGATGCATATTTTTTAAATATAACTGACGCTCGTAAATAGTTTATATAACTATAGGTCTTTTTTTGCTAACAGTGATTCCAGTTTTACTAGTTTTGTAATTTAGATTTCGATTTAGTGGCTGTTGTATAAACGTCAGTTTATTCGAAAACATGCAACTACGTTGAAGCTATAATTGCCTTTTTACATCCAAACAATGCGTACATATTTGTTTCGCTCACATTTACGAAATTACACGTTTCATATATTTCTATCAACTTCACGTATGTGCCTTTAGGCGAGAAACATGTATTCTGACAGGTGAATATGAATAATCACAAACATAGTTTTTCAAACAAGTTAATAAAGACATAAAAACTTGAATAATGACAAATATTTCTTCGCCGAAGTGTACATATATACTATATGTACATTCTTTATTTCTTCATTTCGCGAAAGCAAAAAGCATTTATTATAAAAAAAAATATAGAAACATCTTCAAATAGTTTTTTCTTCTTCAAAATTTCTTTCTCTAATAAAGTTCCTTTTTCTAATAAGAAAAGTTTGGCAAATAAACAATTTTTTTAAATCTGAAATTCACAAATAAAATAAAATACAAAAAATGTAGAAACAAAATACATTTGAACCTGTTTGTCACACATAGCGATTTGCTGTTTCGACTGATAATTTATAGTTTAATTTAGTTTCTAAGATGTTAACAGAAATATGCAGGAAATGTTAGATTTCTTCAAGTATTTTCGATGTTAGAACCGAAATAAAAAATTTATATAATTATATATAGTTATACATATTATAAGTATAGGTACATATATGTTATTTTCGCAAAGTTTCAGATTTTTACGAGTTTTCAGATTGAACCTTTCTTGTATAAGTATTTCCCCATAGCTGTAATTTTTGATACAATATAGTAGCACGTTCACGCCCAATTTCGGAAAACGAGAACAAGTGAGGACGTTAAACTTATAGAGAGCCGAGCAGCAGAGTTTGTATGAACCTCTCGTAATTTTCAGGGTATCTGTAAAGCAGGCTGAGAGTTTCTCTTCTATTCACGTCGCGGCGACACAGTGGAGAGATGGATCGCAATTAATCGATCTATCGCAAAACTACGAAACACTGTCGCGATAACGAATCACCGTTCTGAATAGAGACGCGGTTGCACGAGCAAGTACGCGAATATAATGGTTCGCGGTTTCCGTTCGCGTTCTGTGCTTACGAGTTCCCCTTTTGGCGTTCTATCGAGGATTTTTCATCGCTCGGCGATGAGAGCTGCACGAGGATTTATGACGCTACGGAAACGATATGCTATTCCGCTTCGATCGAGCATAGAAGATATTTCGTTTTGAATCTAAAGTACGTGTGCGGTTCGAGCGATAACGCGAGAGTAACTCGTCTACTTTTCGCTTTATACGAAAGAAATACCTTGAATATATCATATGTCATGCAATAGAAATACAAATTACGTATTAATTTTCCCCGATGAATGATCATGTAAATTATTTCTCGTAATTTTCCGATATTGAAAATAAAGTTGAAATCTGTTTTGAACCACGCATGAATAAAATAAAATCTACTGTGCGTTATTATGAAATTCGACAATTTCGGCTTTCTGGAGTTGACGGTAGATCCATTGGGCGCATTTAATTATAAATCTCTTTGTTAAAAATGTCGAACAATTCAATTCTTTTTATGTTGCATTATGCAAAAATTTGGATTATTCTTATTAAAATTATATTTACACAAGAGAACCGTTAAAACTCTTTCATTGATTTCGATGAGCCTTGTTGGATTTTGATGAATTATAGAGCATCGAAAGATATTAGATTCAGCATATTTATATACGTTTACTTCTAAGATTTAGGGGTCGACAACTCCTGGAGAGTAAGGGGAATTTAAAAAATTTAACATTTTTTACAAGTATGACACTATTATTAAAAGTATAAAATACCATAAAACTTATGTATAAAACAATTGTTCATATACCTGATAGTTGTAAAAATATTCGAAAATAAAATAAGTTTTATTATCGAGAAGTTATTTTCAAGATGTTGTTTCGTCTCATAAATCTGGAAATAAACACATAAAAAATAATCTAATATTTTTTGATGCTCTAAAATATATCCAAACCTATCAAAATCAAGGGACAATTACGGTGATTCCCTTGTTAATATTTATTCTTTTTATAAGAGTTATTATTATTTTTATTCCTTAAAATTAGTGCTTTTTAATTAACATAAATTAAATAGGTCTCACAAATGCAGCGTCAGTAACAGTGTTACAGATTTTAACATGTAAGATTCGGAGGGTTACACTGAGAAAAAAATGCTGTTGATTCAATTAAAGTCTATATTACGGGCTATCACTAACATAAGTAATTAATTCATGTATATTTTTTATTGACATAAAGGCATAAATTATTATTTCAACAATAAGACCTTTATGTCAATAAAAAATATACATGAATTAATTACTTATGTTAGTGACAGCCCGTAATATAGACTTTAATTGAATCAACAGCATTTTTTTCTCAGTGTACGAAAGATAATAACGAATTTATTAACTTTTCTGTATTAGTAGAAAAACAACTTACGCATGTCGGAGAAATCATCGACCAGAATGATTTCCTGTATGAGATGTTCTGGTGATCTATCCAGCACGGAGTGCACTGTACGCAACAACACAGACCAAGCTTCGTTGTGGAAGCAAATAATTACTGCTGTAGGCGGAAGATCCTTCAAGTACCTACCAGATTCCTTACACCTAAAACAAAAAGAATCAAAGCAATCATTAAATAAACCGTTAACGATTGTGCTGTAAAGGAAAATCGTGTTGTTAAAATTATATTTCACATACAAATATTACTAACGAAGTAAAATCGAAATATCGTTGCGTTTCATGCTGAATATAGATCTTGTCTACGTTCCTCTAATAATATTAACTTCGATAGCGGATTGCGCGATTGTTTGCAGAACAATCACGAGTACAGTGCATCAATAGTGCGGCCGAATCGAGTTCTTGATCTGTAGACCGCAACAGGGATGATTACGCGAAACCGATAATATGTACGAGAAGATATGTCAGGAAAATACGGTAATACGATTAAGGTAGAGAATGTTCGTAAACTAAACGCCCACGAGGTGTACGCTCGCCCGAAGCTCACCGCAAAATGAATTCCAGGGATGCAGGGATTGTGACTTCCGGACCTAGTTAATGCACGAACACACAGCTAGCCGCAGACACACGCTGTGGTTTATAGATACGGCAAATAAAATGTATGTGTTCTTCGCTTTTTTCGTAATACTTGCGAGAGCGAAAGCTTGCCGTTTCTGTGTATTAACGTACTCTTGTCAAATTCTATACACATTGTATTTATCCAATATTTACTCTGTTGCATTCGCAATTCGCGATTTTGTAGTCTCATAATGCGTTTAATACATGAATACATTTCGATTCACAATCGATGTCTTCGTAATTAGCTCTACTATAAATACGTATGCTTCCACCCATGAGATAATTATCATATATTAATTCAAGGTATTCGTTTGTAATTAGCGCATTATACTGCAGCCGAGAATAAGTACATTGTACACGTTACGATTGCGCGCATTGCGTGCTAATGAAGCGATTATGAGATGTGCCATTCAATAACGGCCATTACTATGATTACCATCTGTGAATAATTTCAATTAACAGCTGCCAGCACACGCACCGTTCACGAAATGTACTGTTTGCTAAATTTCCGATTTATCCTTCCTGGTGTACCGAAGCGAATATCTACTCGTGAATGAGATCCCTTCATAATCAGTTTCCATGTCGGATTGGAGGTGTTTATGTCAGATGAAATGTAAAATTTAATATATCTATATATGTATATACTTATATGTTTACATTTTCTCATAGGAATATTTTTTCGTCGTTGCAGAAACAGCTTGAAGTATAAACATAATAAATACCCGTTCTTCAGTTAACTTGAGAATTAGTCAAGGAAAATAAGATGATAGGTAAACAGTTAAATAACAGAATAATGATGAGCCAAATAGAAAAGAAGAGAAACTTCTTGAAAATAGTAAATATTTTGCAGATTGAAATATAAAAATGTGGACATATCAGAAAAAGATTATTGAAATATAATGTATTTTAAAACAATGCAATAAAAATTACAAGATAAAATAATATTAATAATTTAATATCGATAATGAATAGCGGCAATGTAGAGAATAGGTATTTTACATTTACACGTCATGTTGTTTCATATTTATCCGAAAAAAAAAACAGACACTTAACAAATTTCGTATAAAGAACAAACATGTCACATTGAATTTTACATAAATTGTCGTAGGTATTTATACATATATCGTTTTTATCAATGTCCATAATAAATTTCATATATAATTCAACTACGTTACAATTAAGCTGTGAATTGTAAGACATGTCATATAATATTTAAAATGTCACATGATAATTAAAATTTTTTATAAGCGTGTTGCAAAGGAGGATATTATAATACCATAATAAAATAATAAAGAGAGTTTTCTCTTATAAAAACAGAGAGGTTTAATTTCTCTGTCCCGAATGACTGCTGTATCTGGTCATAAATTCATAAAGATAACGGCGCCGCGGCGAATGTCATATTAAGATAAAATTAATATAAAATTAGAACGAGAAATGTTTAATTGAAGATTTTATACGGCATAGAAGAGAGACAAACTCGTCTATCTAAAAAAATATGATATGTATAATTTTAGCGCAGATAACTGATTAAATATTAACATCATCTCTAGTTTATTTCGATTAAGCAAACTTTTATTAATTTTCAGATACGTTATAACGTAACCTACAGGTATATTTGATATATGTACACACTATGTAACTGTTTTATACGCGTAGGAGATAAAGTATAAATAAGAAAATCCGAATATATATAGTCGCAATCTACTTAGAGATTAATATTATACTGAAGTTCCATAGAACAGTATTAATTAATTTTCATTATATAAATTTTATTTATATATAACTAGTTAGAGATATTAGTTTATTTTATAAATTATTACATTACAAAATACGTATATAATTTTATAAGAAGTTTCACATTTAACTACAAGAATTTATTTTTAATTTAATCATTATTAAAAATTAATGCAACTTGGAAACGTATATGTACAATATATTTCTAAAAGATTTTTAAAGGAAAATATCTTGTAATATCATTCATTAATTTGTAGAATACTTAGATTTTCGTGTATATAACATGTAATATAATGTTAATTAAAAAAAAGGCTGGAATTTATTCTATTGTTTACGTAGATTCTTTAAAATAACATTTTATCAATATAAAACGTATGCCTCCTACGTTATTGTTAATTGCATATCTGATGCGCCTTAACCATACATCAGATAAGCTTTTGACTAGAAAAGCAAAAGAGGCTCGCAAAGCCCGAGCTGAATCAACCTATTTGCATTTGCATTCCTCTCATTCCGCATTAGTTTGTGTACTCAATTTTAACAGTAAAGCAAAGCCGGCGAAATTCTCATTTTCAAATGCGGAGCACTTGCGTTTTTAATTTCCAACATTGTCGGTGATAAATCTCGCAGTAATAACGGCTTCCACGGAGAAAATTCTGGTCGCGGTTTGTCATTATTATCGCACATAATTCTTGCAGCAATAACAGGTTTCTTAATCTCCTTTTCTATAAGTCATTTTTAATCCATATTATGAACAACGGTACTCGTTACGTTATATCATTTAAGTGTAGTAATTTAATATAATTAATATCATATTTATATAAAAATATAATAATATATCGACTACACTCGATATATCAATTATTCATATAACTGATCCATTCGAAAAAAATTTTTCCGGTTCGATAGAAAAAAATCTCTAACAAATCCTGCACGAATGAATGATTAATTCATAATACTATACTATCCGATTAAATAATAAATCTAAAATTGCAATATTTCGTTTAAACGTTAAATATATATTATGCCAACATTGAATTTATATAACAGAATAATCATTCTATTAGTTAGATGTGGGGAGAATCTACCTGTCAATGCGTATTTATACAGCTCGTATAGGTTGAAAGTAAATCATAGCAATATCGTCACAGTCGTATTAATATATCGTGAAAGCGCACGGCCACGAATATAAATCGCGCACGCGGCACGGCTCGAACAAAGTGGGAAATCGCTTAAGCCAGTAAACGCATCGATCGTTTCCAGTCGATTGACGTTCAACAGCGATATCCTCTTTCCCGTCGACAAAAGAGACTCCCATTGTTGGACGGCGCTTGGGATGGGTACCTCGAAATCAGCCACGGATATCGAATGAGAAGCGGCTCCTTCGCGCGTTCAGCACATTCGGCGATCACCCTTACCATCCCCATCCTCCTGCCATCCATCCCAATCGCCTAAACCCCCGCGAGGCGTTGCACTCGATCAAACGCGTCACGTTTCATGCTGCGTTTCATCCCTCCGTCGCGTCGCCTCGCGTCGCGTCGCCCCGCATCACGGATGCGTGGAATTCTATTTGCAAGTCTCTTCGCCGTAAGCATCTCGCCTGCGGGGATCTTGACTTGTCTTCGTTCGCGGAAATTGAAGAAATAGGCGCGCACGAAGTGAGTGAAAGTCAAATACTGTGGAAGTGAGTGCGCGAGTATCAAGCTTTGGGGAAACGACGTTGCGCTGCGAGAAGATGGAGAATCAAATTTCTCGCGTCCAAATTCTTCCTTTGTTGGTGGCGAGCTTTCATTTCCAATAAATTGTAATGAGAATATTCTCAGATAGGTACCGCGTGATGAAACAAAATCGAACGTTTTGTCCAATTAAAATTTAAATGTGACAAATTATCATAACCTTTTCGTCGAACTATTATTAAAAGTTAATAAAGCTTGGGAAAATATAATCTGTTTCTTAAAGTTTCAAAGAAAAACGTCTTATAATGGAATTTATTGATTTGCAGTATATCCAAGTTTTCATCTCATCCCTTTTGCTCGATACCGCAATAAAATGTAAGGAAAACATCTTAAAACTTGCAAGACTATCAGAAAATGCAGAATGAGATGTACAATCTAATTTAGTTTCTCCGGCGTAATTATATATCTTTAAAGAAAAACTTTTGCGAGGGTAGTGTTGCAAAATATCTGTTTCAGCGTTTCTCTGAAAGATAAATGAAAGTTTCGTGAAGCTAATTGCGGGCTTTTACGAGCATCTTTCTTACCTTTCAAGAATCGTTTGTCTACGGATCTTCAGATTACGTTACAACAATCAACGTCGACACTCCTTACAAATGATTTTACATTTTTCTTACCTTTTTAACTGTACTTACACAAGTTATTCAATCCGATAATTACTCAATCTATTAGCATAAATAGCTAATAACAGTGAATTAATGATATTTTATAAGTCGCGATAGTGTGATAATCCTGTACAAGAATAACCTAAACCTCAGAAATCATAAAGCGGAAAAATTGGATACTTCGCGATATCTCTTGTAAGTTACGCTACATTTGGCGTCCTTCGAGAATGGTCTCGAATCTAAGAGAATCTAGATACCCGCGGATTCTCGTCATAACCGATGGATAAGAGCGCCTTTCTCGCACGAGATTATAGGACCATCCGAGAGAAATAGATCCACATTTTTAAGAAAGATGACGCAGATAGTTCGAAATGGCCAGCGTGATAAAAATGCATGACTCACGTAAACTCAAATCTCGATTGATTTTTCATCGTTACGAAGGTCGCGAAAAATTTCTTAT